GGGTCTGAAAAGACCCAGAAATAGGCTGAAACGGGGTAGGGCCTGCAGGCCCTCGTTTTTCAGCATCCAGGCTGAAACGAACGGGGCCTGTAAGCCCTAAGTTTTAGGCTTTTAGGCTGAATGTCCGGGACGGGCCCTGCAGGGCCCGTGTGGCTACGCAGTATGCCACAGTAGTGGAATGGCCCGCCAAAACACAGACTGAGAACACTGATGATTTCTGGGTTTTGTCGCTAGAATGTATGCCTTGCTGGGATTCCCACGTTGTGCTGAGTTTTCAAAGTCTGTGTGTGTGTGCGTGCTTGCTGGTCCGTGTGACTGTCTGAGTGCACATCTGCCGGAGTGTGTGTGCGTGGCCCGCCAGGGCACTTGCATGTGATGAGGCCCGCAGGGCTGGTACTTCCTGTGGCCGTGACATTGAGGGTTGCAGCGGGAAAAACAGTCGAGTAGCGGGGAGTAGGCTCGCGACACTTTGGGCAGCGGAAGAAAAACACTTTAGTGGCCGGTAGGCCGGTAACACTAAAGTAGTGGTAGTTGTGTCGGGAACTGGAGGCCGAGCAGAAGAAGACAAAAAGTTGGCATTCTTAGAGGCCCAGTAGCGGTAGGCTAGAGGTAAGCGGGTACCAGTCCAAGTAGCTTGAGTCTAGTGCCCGTGCGGACAATATTAGAGCCTGCAATGATGTTTCCCTCCGAAAAGGAGGAGATACCAGTTGGTTGGAGGCTGTGCAGCCTGGAAGTCGCCGGCCAAGAGGCAACTAGGTCGCTATACCTCCTGTAGGAGCGAGTACCTCCTCATTTGCGGTATGCAAGTTTGGACGTTGTGCTGCTTGAGCGAGCGCTGACTCTCAGAGTGCTGCCTGGGACGAAGGAGGAGAGCTGGACGCTCAGCCTGGCTATGGCGAGCAGCCCAGCTTGAGGAGGAAGAAGAAGGGGGCGAAGGAAGAGAGTGGCAACGTACCTACCTTGCTATGGTGGACACCGTCTTCATCACCTTGTTAGGCGCTGCATCTGAAAGGCCTCGGTTGGGGTAGTGCCGCATCAAGGAAGCTTCCAGGCAGAGTCGGGCATGACGGCCTGAAGAGCAGTGACCATAGCTGCTTTGTGTTGTCTTTTGCACAGGAGGGCGAAGCCTTTAGCAGTCTGCCATAGCCTTGCATGTGAGAGGAAGGTGAAGAGGGAAGCCATGGCTATGGAGGACCTATTGTTGTGCTGGAAGTAAGAGGGAACTTCGGATATTGATTCTGGTTCAACCACTCATTGTTATTATAATATTATTGTTATTTTGGAGAAGAATAAGATTGGTGGAGGCAAGGACGAGGAGAGTGGAGAGACGAGGGGAATTTGGCATTGGTCTTGCTGGTGTACATGTTCTTCTTCTTCTTAATTCTTTCTTCTTCTATCTTCTGCTTTGGTCTACCTCTATGCAAGTGCTTTCATTTCTTTCGCAATTGGGTGGCATAGTCATTCCTTGTGCATTTGCACTTCGGAAATAGCCAGGATCGTAACAGAGTCGTAGATATGCTAGTGTGACAGTAAGTCGTCAAGCAGAGGCACCATGGTCAAAGGAGCCAAGTGGGGATGAGGAGAGCAATGGAAGGCAGAGCAACATCACAAAGGGTTAACGAGGGAGAGGGTGGAGTTCGCTGGGTAGATAACACGAGTTCAAACCTTCAACACACCTCATTTCGGAACTGCCTTCTATCAATACTGAGTGTGCATGAAGATGAGTTAGCTGGTGAACCTGTGGAGCTCTGGAATGATCCGCCTCCTCCCACTGATTTTCCAGGTTTCCCAGTCCCAAAAGCTTCTATTTCTTCATTCTGACGCTTACTAGCCCAGAAAGAGCCAACAGATGTTCGTTTTGCTGCACCCTGACAAAGCAACACCACTCTTATGTCAGTCAAAGGTCAGACCACAGAGTACACAACACATGAAAGATGGAAGCCATAAATGACCATAATCCCCAAACCAGAATGGAGCTGTGAATGAACAAAAACTAATTCTTGCCACATAAAAACAAAGGTCACATGGCATGATAACCCACCTGAGCAGAAACACCAAGACTATTCTGGTCTTGGCCATCATACCAGAAGGTACACTCTGACCAGGCTCCTGCTCGGATTTCTAAAACATAAATTGGCTAGCTGTCACCTTTTCCCAGGAAACACTAAATCACAAAACAAGTGAAGGAGATAAGGTTCAGAAGAAGCATAGCTGAAATCCCCTCGCCCTCCCCCACCAAGAAATTGGATCCTGCAAATCTAAATAATCCAACACACAAACCCCTTACATAGGACACAAGGCCCAGGGTTTGGAGGTTCACACAAAGAAGAGTGCGTGTGTGGGGCGGGGTAGGGTGGGATGGGGCGAAAACCCAATAAGACCACGCACTGTGTACAGAGAATTTCAAAGAGCATACCAATCCCTGTCGAAACGTATGTATTAAACAGGAGCGGCAGTCAGGTTCATAATCTGTATAACTCTGTAACTGATGGTCAGCTGCATTTGGACAAGGGAAAGGGTATATATGTGAAATTCACACCCACAAACATGGGCAGGGCACTGCACCCATAACCGGTAGCTCCGGTCTGCAATGAGGATTATCAAGTACATGAGTCCACCTAGGGAAACAGTCAACGCATATTCAATTGCGTCCAGCTAGGGAAACAGTCAACGCATATTCACTTGTGTCCAGCTAGGGAAACAGTCGACGCATATTCACTGGCGCGTTCATGTGGAAGTGCTGCTGCGTTATTTTTGGTTCATGTCAAGTGTGCTGCTCGGAGATATTGTGACTTGTACTGTTGTGTGGACTGTGGCTGGTTGTAGTAGTTGATGGCACTGGGCACCTTTGAGAGTAGCCATAGCCAGGTCCAGTGTGAGGTTGAGAGAGAGAGAGAGAGAGAGAGAGAGAGAGAGAGAGAGAGAGAGAGAGAGAGAGAGAGAGAGTCGGGATCGGGGAAGGAGGAGGAGAGGGGGGGGAATCGGGACAGAGGTTGGGTGGGGGAGAGCGCCTACTTCGATCGATAGGACGCCGGGATCGGAGCGCAGGTCGGCTGGGGAAGGAGGGGGAGCAGAGTCGGGATCGGGGAAGGAGGCCCGGGGAGAGAGAGAGAGAGAGAGAGAGAGAGAGAGAGAGAGAGAGAGAGAGAGAGAGAGAGAGTATACGTCGGACGTGACATGCATGGCAATGAGCGAGCGGGGGGAGGGGACTGTGTGTTCATGCATTGTGCCCCAGTGTTGTTGATGAGAAGTCGACAACAATTTTTTTTTTTCTTTTAGCAAAAAAGAAGAGAAGATGAGCGGAAGGGGGAACACACAAAGGAGCGCAATCGACATAAGGAGCGCGATCGGGATCTGGATGTGGGCAAGGAGCACAATCAGGATCCGGAGGTGGAGGAGGGGGGGGGAGAGGGAGGGGGAGACGTCGGGATAGGGAGGGAGGGGGAGAAGGAGATCGGGATAACGTCGCACGTCGGGATAGGGAGGAGGACCGACGAGATCGGGATAGCGAAGCCGAACCTCGGGAAAGGGAAATGTGAAAGCTCGTCACGATAAGGAGGGAAGGGGGAGAGAGATGGGGAGACATCGGGATAGGGAGGGAGGGAGAGAGGGAGATTGGGATGGGGTCGCACGTCGGGATAGGCAGGCCCAACATCGAACGGGATAAGGAG